TCATATAATGCTCAAGATCTTGCATTAAATGTTGCTTCCTGTTCATAGACATTGCGTGAAGTCTTTTTTGCCTTGTTACCAGTAGTGTCTAATTTAGCAGAAACCAAGGAACCTTTTTGTCCTTTTTCTGGTTTCGTAGTTGTTGAATTGTCCTTCTCTGAAAAAGTAATGTACTTTTCCTGACACATGCATTTTTTTACTTCTACGCTTGATTTTCTCTTTCTTCTTTTCAACTTTCACTCGCGCAATCATTTTGAGAGCTTTTATGATCGTAGACGATGCCTGAGTTGTCCTTGGAGACATAATTCCTTAAATGCTTTCATGGTAGTTTTCATCTTCGTCTGTTAGTCCTATGCATCTCAAAACTTGACCTTCATCTGAGCTTTTGACTTGATGCTTTGACTCTTCTCTAGGTCTGGTCAACTTGTAGGTGGACAGATTTCGTTTCCATTTGGAGTTCCTTTCAATCTGTGTTGTCCTTCGTCTGACGCATAGTTGACTTCCTTCTATTATTTGACCAGTGCTTCGTCTAATTTATTAGATTGCAATTGAGGTTATCCTTGACACATCCTCGTTTGGCATTTGGTTCACAGTTGTCTGGCGCACATGTCATACTTTATCTATTCATATGACTTGGTTTGTTTGATCCTCATGGTGTGCCTTGCTTTGACTCATCTCCGTCTGATTGACCATTTGGCTTCATCTAATGCTCGTGTAGACTTTATGTATGCTTAGCCCATTTTTGCCTTGTTCTAGATTTAACCTTTTTCTTGATACTTTAATCTTCAACTTGTAGACGCCTTATTTACGTATCTTCGACATCTTGGATTAGACTTCATCCTTATACTTTCTTTTCTTATCTTGACTTATGTGTTGTGCTTTCTCTTCACTCATATTCGACTGATGCTTGAAGCTTTGCTTTGTCTTGACTCTTTTTCTTCTGATTCAGGATTTATTATTTGATGATGCACACGTCGTATTCCATCTATCATTTGTTTTAGTCTGATCTTTGTAACGGTGGAAGATTTTTAATTTTGTATTGGAATGTTTCTTCTCATCATCTGGTGCTTGGGTTGATCTTTGTCTGTTTGTTCGAACTTTATCTGAACCACTTGCTTCCTCCCTTGTGACATTTCCTGACTCATCCAATTTGCTTCGGTACATCCATTTCGTACTAGTGATTGTTTTATTCTTTGGTATCGGAACGAATTCTTCTTGCATGGCTTGAGCTTTAATCGTTTGCTTAACTAGCTTTCGTCTTGGTGTGCTTGACAGGTCTTTTGTGATCTTTGTGGACTTCAGACGCTTTTCCATATTCTTCATCGTGTCCTCATCCATTGTCTTTGGTCTTGTATCGTTTGAGGCTTCATTGTTTTCCTTCTTGTGCTGGGCTTGGCTTCGCTTGATCTCTTTATCTGATGCCTTATAGTTTTTTACCCTTTGTCTTGGTTATGGTGTGGGAAGTTGCACATGCTCTTTTCTTCATGTTGCCTGTACTTATGTTTTTTCTGAAACGCTAACACACTTGTTAGTAATAATCAACATGTATTATATTTGTCTCACTCAAAACCCTACTAGGGATTGCTTCGTCTGACTCAACAGTTTTGGTATTTGGGGTCCCGGTAGTGATGAGGGTCGGAAGGGTGTTCGGTCATCGTGGTGTTCGGTCACCATTGAGGCCGAAGGGTATTCGATCATAACTAGTACACAAAACTTCACGTTTTTTTTCTCTTCCATATGACGTCTTGCAGATTTTGTTTGTATTCATCCACTTACACACATATATAATTGAATTTACTTAATTACATTAATCTTAATATGTACTCCACATATGACCTCTCTCTTTCTTTCTTTCTCCTTTTTTATCTCTTTCTCTATATATATAAGGAGGGTTCAAACGACATCGATATAACTTTTATTAAGTATTACACTATTCAATAATCTTATATTAAATGTGAATTTTGTAAATTAAATCATTGAATTATAACTTCATATCACTTTATATGTTTATATCAAATCCTGTTAAAATTGAAATTAGTTGAAGGTAATCAAAGTGTTCATATTTTATTATATTTTGGAATGTATATATTATGTTAATCTTGTTTTATAAGAATGAAGTATCAAATTTTGTAAAGAACTTTCAATATAACAGTTGAATTTATAAAATTCATATTTAATATATAGTTATTGAGTGATGTAATACTTAATAAAAATTACTCTGTGTGTGTGTGTGTCTCTGTGTGTGTGTGTGTGTGTCTGTGTGTGTGTGTGTCTGTGTGTGTGTGTCTGTGTCTGTGTGTCTGTGTGTCTGTGTGTCTGTGTGTGTCTCTGTGCCTGTGTCTGTGTGTCTGTGTGTGTCTGTGTCTGTGTCTGTGTGCCTGTGTGTGTGTGTCTGTGTGTGTGTGTCTGTGTGTGTCTGTGTGTGTGTCTGTGTGTGTGTCTGTGTGTGTGTGTGTGTGTCTGTGTGTGTGTGTGTGCGTGTGCGTGTGCGGTGCGTGTGCGTGTACGTGTGCGTGTGCGTGTGCGTGTGCATGTGTATGTGTGTGTGTGTGTGGTGTGTGTGTCTATATATGAAAAAAATTATAATTTTATAATATAATTGCCTAAATACCTAATTTGGTCCCTCATAATATTTAAAAATTTTAATTTGGTCTTACTTTAATTTTTTTTTTCAATTTAGTCCCAAATAATTTAAAAATACATCAATGTGGGACTTCCACCCAAACTCCACAAACGATGTTAAATGTGGACGACGTGGATGTTAGGTAGATGCATACGTGGCAAGGTTTTCTTCTTCTTCTTTAATGCTCTCATATGTATGTTGTTGTTGTCTTCCCCCTCCTACTCCCACTCCTCCTCCTCCTCCTCCTCCTCCTCTTCTTGTTTTTCCTCTTGTTGTTGTTGTTCTTCTTCTTCTTCTTCTTCTTTTGTTTAGTTTTTCTTGTCCCCATCTTGCAATTTATGGGATTTGAACTTAGGGTTTTGTGTGTTACAACGAAAATGTTGCGAATGTCATCCAACTCGCGCCCAATGAACTCAACGAATTCAAGTGCGTTTAAAGGTAGTAGGCCTTTTGTTCCTTGTTGCTATTGGGGGAGGTTATTGTGTGGCGATTAGCAATGACGTCTACAAATGCTGGTAAAAGATTTTGGGGTTGTCCAAATTACAAGGTATGTTATGTATGTTAATTAATGTTATTTTTCCCTAGTTTCTTATTTGGGTTTTGTGACTTTGGTTAAAAATTTTGTAGTTTGGTGATGCTAAACAACAAGGATGCAACTTTTTCAAGTGGTCTTTAGAGGAATATGTGGATGAAAGGGATTTGTTGATAGCTAGACAGAGGAGAAAGATGAATAATCTCCAAAGTTCTCTGAAGTCAATAAGATGGTGGATGAAGTTGTTGATAATTGTTGTTGGTTTTCTATTGTTGTTGAATTTGGGGTTACTGTATGTAATTTGTAACAACTTGGTTCAAATTAGAAAGGTATTTTATTTGAAGTAGGCAAATACGGTGTTCTTTATGTAATGACAAGTTTGGGGATGTTATGGTTAGATATTTATGTAATGTTTCTTTAATTGTAATGGAATTATGAACAATTACTAATGACAGTATTCAATCATTGAGTGATGTTTACATTAAAGTGTTAGATTTCAACAATAAAAGCAATACAAGAGTAAAAGTATCCGTGCAACAACGTGGAATCAAACAAATAATGATAGATATTAGGCGCTAAATGTTCAAAGACTTGAGTACATATGGTCTTAGAAGTTAAAAAAGTTAAATACAAATACTAATAAAGTTCAAAGATTGAAAACAAAAATTCATAACATAAATTGGTTGTGCTAAAGCAATATGATTCAGACAAATCACTGAGGAGGGAAATCATCTAGATAATGCTGAAGGTGCCAATTATACATCCTGTCCACCATATAATTATAGTGTTGTTGTCGTTCATCCATTTCTTGCAATCGACGATCCATACACTGAATGGCTGACAAGATATCATCATTGTCTACCTGTAGATGCGATTGTGGGGTGAAATCTTGTTCCTCTGGCTCATTTTCCTGTACTTCAGGTTGTACTTGCTCAGGAATAGGTTGTTGTTGTTGGGGTAATTGAACGGGTACTGAGAGTTTCGTACCTATCCCGTTGCTCATTGCCTCTAAATAGTAGAAGAGCGAGGACTTCCATGTCTTCGAACTCAGGTGCGAGATTGGTAGAAGAGGATCCATGAGATGTACAGGTTCGCTTTGGAGCCTTCCACTAGTGACACGCGAGTTTTAGAATCACACCCATGATTCTCGCAGCATATTAGAAGATTTTATTTGTTTCCTGTCAGCCGAGAGAATCATGGCCGTGATATGGAATCATGGGCGTGATTCTCGCAACCCTATGAGTGCAACTTTGTTGTGTTTTATTGGCCAAGAGAATCACGACCGTGATTTAGATTCACCGGCGTGATTCTCGCGACCCTGTGAGTCCTATTCATTTTGAGTTTCATCTTCAAGAGAATCACGACTGTGATTTGGAATCACGGGCGTGATTCTCGCGGCCCTGTGAGTCCTATTCTTTTTTAGTTTCATCCTCCGTGAGAATCACGGCCGTGATTTGGATTCATGGGCGTGATTCTCGCGGCCCTGTGTATGCAATTTTTTGTGTTTTAACTAAGTCATTGCCTCTACCCATTGTCAAATCAATTTTGACTGAGCTAAGATGCAAACCACTTGTTAATGACATGCAATTAATTGTTAATTTAAGTTAAAGACAATAAAAATTATGTATACAATGATAATATGAAAGTGAAATTTGATTTGAAACCAAAAATTAAAGTGAAACTAAATTAAAATTTTTAAATATTATGAGAGATCAAATTAGGCATTTAGCCAATATAATATGTTCAAATAAAAGATTTAAATAAAATAATATTATTTATCTTACTTTTATTTTTTTTATATGTTTTTTTAATTATTTGGCTTGCCGCCATTGTTCCTCTCTTTAAAGTTCCCCCAAACCGCAACAATATTCTCGTCGCCTCCCGCGAACACGGTGACGCATCCATCTTTCAAATCTCCTACCCAAATGCAAATCCCTCTCTCTCTTCACCCTCGCTCCTTCCTTCCAAACCCCGTCACGCGCCACAATCGCTCACTCTCCGCGCCACAACCCCACGCGCCTCCCTCGCTTCCACCCTTACCGCCCCACCCCAAAACGCCGCGTTTCGATTGCAGCCCTTCCCACCATACGCGCCCAAACGGCTTCCACTTCAAGCGCGGGAAGCTCGAGCTCGCGCGCAAAGTGTTCGACGAAATTCCCAAACGAGACGTTAACGCGTGGACTGCTATTATTACTGGTTTCGCCCGCAATGGAATGTCTTGGCAAGTTTTGGAGCATGTGAGGTTGATGTTAGTGGAAGGAATAAGTCCAAATTTGGTTGTGATGGCAGTAATTCTTGATGTTATTGGGGAGGTTGGTGCTCGAAATTTAGGTAGAGAGGCTCATGGTTTTGTGGTGAAGAGAATTTGGTATCACGAGGAAATTTCGGTTCTATCGGCGTTGATTGATATGTATTTGAAGTGTGGCGATGTTGGCTCTGGAAGCCGAATTTTGCATAGTGTGATGAAGAGGAAAGGTGATTGTTGGATTGGATTGATGTCGGGAAGACTTGAGGTGTCAATGAGGAATATTGTTCGTTTGAAGAGATTTAGGCCCGGTGGTGTTGCGGTTGCTTCTTTGCTTCCAATTTGTGCACAATTGAGGGCTTTGAGACATGGGAAGGAGGTTCATGCTTATGCTTTGAGGCATTGGTTGCTGCCTAATGTGTCCATAGTTTCGTCTTTGATGGTGTTGTACTCCAAGTGTGGCGTGATTGAGTATTCCATGAGACTTTTTGATGGAATGGCGCGGAGGAATGTGGTTTCGTGGACAGCCATGATTGATTCGTGTGTTGAAAATGGGCGTTTGTGTGAAGCAATTGGTGTGATGAGGTCAATGCTGTTGACGGAGCATAGGCCGGATACGGTTACCATGGCTAGGATGCTGCGTGTTTGTGGCAAGCTGAAAGTTTTAAGGCTTGGGAAGGAGGTTCATGGACAGGTATTGAAGAGGGGTTTTGTGGTAGTCCATTATGTTGCTGCAGAACTGATTGATATGTATGGGATTTGTGGAGATGTTGATAAGGCAAAGTTGTTGTTTAGTGCGATTCCTGTTAAAGGTTCGATGACATGGAGTGCTCTTATAAGGGCTTATGGGTATAAAGAATGGTATCAAGAGGCTGTGGACCTTTTTGATGACATGATTTCAAATGGTTGCTCTCCAAACCGCTTCACTTTTGAAGCTGTTTTATCAATTTGTGATAGAGCTGGATTTGTTGAAGATGCTTTTAGGATCTTCGATTTGATGTCGAGATTTAAAATTGAAGCATCCAAGGAACACTGCACTATAATGATTCGACTTCTTACCCGCTATGGTAAACTAGATGAGGCTCAAAGATTTGTGGAAATGAGTTCTTCCTTATAGCAGAGAGCCAGAGGCAATAGGACTCTCTTTCTGCTATGAATGTTTTATAGATTGTTAACATTCTTAACCAATGTTTATTGACGAGTTACCAGTAGCTGTTCAAGGTGACATTGAGCAAACATATAACTTTCAGTTAAGGATCCTTGAGTTGTAAGTATAGTGTCTAACTGTATCAAAGCTGTAAAGTTGCTTGAATTGAACATACAATTTCTTAAATGGTTTGGTTTGCCAGAAGCAAGTTTACTTTTTTAGTTGCCATTTGCCAATATTTAATGATAGACTTGGCTGGAAGAAGCATAATGGATTGATGCAATATCCTAGGAGAGGAATTTATAACTAAAAAGTGAAAAGTATGCTGATAAATAATGTAGTTGGCCTTAAGCTTCACTAATATTCCTAGGAGAGGAGTTTATTACAAAAAATCCTTAGCTATCTTTGAAGAAAAGTGAGGGAATGTAATTTTTTAGAAGATTTAAACCCCTTCAGAATTTGTTTGGATACATAACAGCCATTTGAAAATTTTCAAAAGTATTTTGGTAAGATATTTCATTATCCAAAATAACGAATTCAAATTTCCTGTTTATTTGGTCGAATTTCTAAATTGGGATAAATGTTATGTTGTTTGGCAGGGAAGAAACTGAAAGGAAAAAAGATAAAAAAAAAATCTTTCCTCTTGTTTAGTTGTGTAAAAGTGATGAAACTAGTTTGGAGATGATTGTGGATTTCTTCAACTAGTTTGTAGGTGCTCTCAAATCTTCTTCCATGGATTTTTATACTCCAAAGAAACCTGCAAATAGTGGAGGAGAATAGAAGATAGGTGCACCACTTCAAGGAATATAAGCAAAAAAAAGTGAAGAACTTGACATAAGGAAAAATTTCTTAATAAAAGTTCATAAGGAGAGAATTTCTCCAAGAGAGAGAGAACTAAGACTTATAGAAAGAACAAATCTGAATTTTATTCTCAATAGCTCAAAAGTGAATTACAAGGAGGGAAAAGGTATATAAAGAGTTTGGAAGCTTGTGGTACAAGTTTGACTAATCATGATTAAGTGTAGTTAAGGTTAGGTTAACTTGTATTCAAGCTAACTAACTTTAGTTATATTTTGGAATTTGAATTTTCTCCTAAAAATGTCATTATCATAAAATTAAAAGAATTAAATGGGAGCTTGTTACATGACAAGATATTAAAGGTGTGATTAGACAAGACCATGTGAGTTGTTGGAGTCTTGAATAGATCATGAGACATCTTGTCCCCCTTTGATGTTGACATCTAACCACTTAGTTTTCTCACAAGTGGATGTCCATCACTTGATTCTCATATAAGTGGATGTCAACTTCAAAAGCTATGCATCCAAGAAATACTCTCATGAACCATTCAAGCCCAATAAATCCAAAACTCTTTTTTTAGTTACACCCCTCCCAAAACACTAAGTACACCTTAAAAATAGAAATTATAAGGAAATAAATTCCTACATTACTTGACTCAAAATCACAAGGTCAAAATTAAGAAAATATTTATAAGGAAAATATTTACAAAAAAGAGAAAGTAAGTTACTAAAAAGTAATCTAAAGCTCAAAAAAAGGTTGAACTTTCTTCCTTTAAACCTAATTCACTTCTCATGACTTCTTTAGGATCAGATCCCTTGATATGATGTCATAAAAAGGTAATACTATATTTTTTCTTGTTAGATCTGTTAAGGAATAAATCATTTAATGAAATTTATTGTTAGTCTCACGTAAATGTATACATTTAATGCATAATGAGATAGACTGTATGTTTCGTCTAATTTTCATCATTTTACAGATGATATATATATATGTATATATATATATATATATATATAATGACATAAATATTCCTGATTAAAAAAGAAGTATATAAGGATAAGGATAATTTAGTATTTTTACCGCAACAAATCGCTTTTCATGCCTCTTTCCGTCCAAAATGGAAAGATTGAAAAAATGCTGGATCCCACTTACGTTTTCATGTTTCTTTCTTTCTTAGACTCGTTAAACAATGGAAAAATTTAATTATGCTTTCTTTTCTGTCTGTCTACTTTCTTTCCACTCTGTTTCTGTTATTCCAAACAGACGCCTAGTTTTTTTTTATCTACTCATAATTTTGATCAACTCATCTGGAGACAACAAGTGTTCTATAATCTATAACATGTTCTATATTTTTTTAACTCTTAATTTGACTAAATTTTGCTGTATTCACCTAGAGCACATGTTCTATAACACGAACTTGACTACATTTTTTTTAACTCTAATTTTCTTTGTTGTTTTTTGTGTTCTTAACTCATTGCTGCAATAATCTTGATCTGTATCATCTTTCTTATTTGTTTTTATCAGCTATCATTCCCACTTGTCAAATGCCCATGACCGTATGAGATCAAATATTTCTGGCATAATCTTTGTATGCTTTATAAAAGCTGTTGCTTGTGATGATGGTTCATGGATACTCAATATGCGTGATACCTGATGTGAGGAGTCCAATATAGGTGTTTTATTTTTGCTTATGTGCATTTTGGATTATTTTGAGATTTTAAGTATTGTTACAAGGCTTTCATCATTCTTTTGGTGTGCTTATTACATTTTCTGTTTGATAAGGTGCCAAGAAGGAAATTTTGTGAATGGATCTATATCAATACTGTTGGAGTATGAAATTTGAATATCAACATGGCTTCGAGGGTCTCCTTTTGGGGCCAGTGTGAAATCTGCCTTGTTCATATGCTAAAAAGTTATAACTGCCTTTCATTCTCTGTTTACATGAATGCACGTGATTGTTTTGCCTTGATTGAAATTTGCTTTTGGTTCTATTTTCCAATCATTGCATGCCTTGTTTATTGGCCAATCTTAATGCTGTCTGAGACATTATATAGACCAAATTTTTGGCTAAAGAGAACACAGCCTTTTGTTTAGATTGATCCGTATTTCGAAGGCACTATATATTGTGAACTTATATAGGTGGTCCGATCTCTTTGTGAAAATATTATGGGTTTACTTTTGAAGGAATAGTATATTTTCCACATTGATTTTATTAAAAGGATTATGATAAAAGAAATTAACATAGGCCAATTCTAACTGTCAATAAAGAAGAACAAGTATGACAAGGAGAAATATGGTAGAAACTAGAAAGTAAGGATGAGTACAAGAAAAAATGGTACAAGGGATTACTTTCTACGGAATTTCAAAATGAAGCTTGAACTTGTATTGGCTAATGCCTTTTGATATCAAAGAAATTTGGACAACAAGAACTCGGGAAACAGTGGCATATAACATTGAATCTCTCTTTAATTACTTTGTTTGGAAACAAATTGCGGAACCCAGCTAGTAAACAATGATTCAAATGCAGAGAGTACTTGAATCCCTCCTATCCTCTTTTCCATAAGCGAGGATTTCATAGCATCATACTCGCTCTGAGTAAAGAACTTCTTTCATGAATGAGGCTACACCCGGTGACCTGCTTCTTTTGTTACTGGCTATTTTCTCTCTGAATCCATAAATATTTTGAATCTGGCTTCTGAAAACCCTCTTTCTCTCCTCCCAAGCCTGCTGTGGTTTGCCTTTAGGTTCTATCTTTTTCTGATGGTTCTGCCTCTGCAATCTTCCATGGCCTCCTTAGTCTCAATTATGCATCGGGTACCTTATGCTTCTTCAAATACTGCGTACTCCTTCATTTTCTCATCCTCCTGTGGTCTGATCTCATTGTTTTGCTTTGTTGCAGAGACTGTCCAGAAGTTGTGTCCTTAAAACCAACGATTCTTCTGACAAAAGAGGTCTCCATAGCTTCTCCCAAGGAAATTGCCACCTGGTGATTATCTCTCTCTGCACACTCCGTTTCTTTTTACATAATTTTGGTTGAAATTTGGGACCTTCAGGTTGTATATTTTGATGGCATGGCATTTTCATGCTGAGGATGCCAGATGCTGACTGCTGATTTTTGTTTTTTTGGATGGACTTCTCAGTGCTGTTAAGCATTTAACTAATTCGGATTGGTTTTCCAAGTCTCATTGGTTTCGAAATAACAGTGGAGTTTTCTAAGTGTTAGCTCTTGCAAAAGGGACGTTGATTATACTTAATGGTGAAGTTTCTTAAGATTTATACTGATGAGAACTGAGATGATTCATAAAAGATGATATGTTTTGTAGCTGCTCTAATGGTTATATAATGTTCCATCCTTTATCTGCAGCTACAAAATTTGTCTGCTACAGGTGAGAATCGGAAAACTCGCTTACTTTTCATTACTGCAACGAAAATGACGGTCACGAATTGGAGACCCACTTTTTCGTTCCATGCTTGTGAGGATAGTTCTCGGGGGAAGGTGAGGTTCGAATACTAATTATGAGGAGTACTCGCTATGCCCCACTCCTAAGAGTTTATTTGTTTAAGAATTTATTAAAAAAATTTACATTAAAATATAAGAATATCGCTCATTTTGAAACAATAGAAGAACATAACTTTCATAATCTCGAGTATAATTTTTTTTTTTTCAAATTAGTCCTTGAATATTTGTAAAAATATATTACCAGAGATTATTGAATATTTTTAAGGGCCAAGATTTAAGACAAAACAATCTTTCAGAAAATCGCCGTAAGAAAAAAGAAAAAAAAGAAGTTAACGGCTTGCAAGTTAGGGTTTTCCCCGGCACTGTAGAGGACTTTACTATCCTAGGGCAAGACTATATATAAACTATGAAATGCGTAACAGAAAGCAGGAACTTTATTATGAACATAGCATAGCATGACTCAGAAGCAGAATCCCACAAAGACACAAATTTGGATCTCAAAAAACAAAAGATGCGCGTAAATTAAGAAAGACGATACAGTGGGTAGGTAAACATTAGAAAGCAAATATAAGAACCAAAACCCCCCAGGATCCCACTTTTGAAGCACCGAAACCCAAAAGGGTGTGTGTTGTCTTCAGGAGTCCTTAGAGGAGGGTGCGTCTTGATCGGGGGATTTAGCCGGAGGAGGAGGAGGAGGAGGAGGGTGGTCGCGGTTGTAACGAGTGACGAAGATGTTGATGAGGCTGTAGAAGTGGTAGAATAGTTGCGCACTAACCAGCACTATCAAGCACAGAACAACAAAATCCATTTTGAAGCACCAGAGCAGAAACGCGGAGCTTTCGGTGGGTGCACGCCTTTAAGAAATTGGGGATAGTGGAGCTTTATCACTTCCACATCTACCTCTATAGACTATACTAGACTCTCATGCGGGCCGGACTATTTTTTTT